ATCTACCTAATGATATAACTGTGTACATAGGAGTTCTGGTGGACAGTAACCAGCCAAATGTTTCAAACACTTGGCGAAATCTGACAGTTCCAGATGTTTGGCAGCTGCACTGAGCTTCTGAATTGTGCAGGGACAATAGAGACAGTTGCATAGTTACTGCCTGTGAACACGTGGTTATTATATGACCATATTTTCCATCTCCGCTGTTCTGTATCTGTGTATGTAATCAGGAAATTGACAACTCACCATGCCTGGGCTAATTACCCACAAATCTGATCTAACAACTACCAAATGTAGGCACTGGGCAGCTTGAGTATAGGTAGACTTGTTCTAGTGGTTCTGTTTCAGTATTCAATTGGGTAACTATAGTTAAATTGTAAATCTGCATATATAATTTATGTTTTAGTTAGAGGTGTCTGTGCTCTTGGAGATCATAGGAGACGTTTACGAAATTATTGAAACCATGGAACATTTTTCAGCACTCGGCATATGACTAAAGGAAAAAAAACCAGACCCATGCCAGTTTTGTTCACTTAAAATGTCTTTAGTTATATTGTTAAACCATTTGGCACTGGTCATGTGTGTGGGTGTTTTTCCCTCCTAATCATGGCACACTTAAGTGCATGTTATGTGTTTTTTGATTGGTTTTCATTTATTTTAGCAATCGGCAATGAAGAGCCTGCAGAACATCTGAGTTGCATAGTGCCAGTCCATTCTGGAATGGTGTATGTGGAGAGAGGCAAACGGTTAATGCCGTGGCTGCTGGATTTAGCTTCCCAGGCTGAAGCCTCTATTCATTTCAGACATTTTTTTTTCTAGTTCTTTCACACATTCCTGAGCATAATTCTGCCTAGCCCAGTGCAGCACTTAGCCCTCCATGCTGCTTTTTTCCAAAGTGATCTCAAGCATATACAGATCTGAAAATGACATGATATTGTCTGGATGCTTCTCAAGTGCTGCTTTACCAAACAAGGCATTTTTTTGGGCATCATTTAGTCATAACCTTAGCTGTGTCTTTAGGATGCTGGGAATTTGCATGTGAAGTTCACTGTGCAGACTATTTCTTGTTTGATGCAAGTTATCAATTTATATTATAATGCAATACGGGTATGTTTTACCCATAACTACTTATCTTCAAAACAGCTACTGTATTTGCTTGCGTATAAGACTACTTTTTATACTTTAAAAACATCCCCCGAAAATCGGGGGTCGTCTTATACGTGGGATATACAATGTATACCTTTTAGTTCGTTTGGGCTAAGCTGGCCCAAAACGACATCCCTAATCTGTCAGCCCGCTGGATGTGCGGTAATACTGTATGTACGGTAGCTTCGGCTACATACAGTAGCTGAGCCAATCACGGCGAGCGATGTACACAACCTCTGCCAATCCATGCAGGCTTTGTATTCATTAATAGAATACATTGCTCGCCGTGATTAGCTCAGTGCGGTATACTGTATGTAGCGGAAGCTACCGTGCATACAGTATTACCGCACATCCATCCATGATGTTTTTAAATGGTGTTGCCTCGGAAGTGGGGTAGTCTTATATGACGAGTATAGCCCAAAACCTATGTTTTAAGTGGAAAATTAGGGGGTCGTCTTATACACCCAGTCGCCTTATACGCCGGCAAATACGGTAGCCTTAAACTGGACCAGGGGTCTGAGTACCCATTGTATGAGACCTCTCGTACATATTACTCTCGCTTCATCAGAACAATTAATAGATTGGGATGCTAAGGACATTGCTGATTTTTTTTTTTTAAATGTATTCCTCCTGCTGACTTCTATGTCAATACAGGACCCAGTAGTGACATAAAGGTTGGCAGAAGGAACCACTAAAAGCTACAGGGGACAAAGGAACTCAACACTCTTTGGAAGTGTCTGTTTCCCGGCGGACTTCAATTGGGGTGGTGACCTGTCGGTGTGACTTCTTGTAGCTGGCTGAAAGTTTTGCAAATGCTTTATACATTGTTCTGAACTCACTGCTCTTATACCAACTGATTCTCATATGTACAAGGCTTAAAGCTGGTGTCCTTTTTTCTTCTTCTTTGATTTACTACCTAGTAAGTCACTGATCTTCGTAAAGCATGCAGCCAGTGAACAGGTTGTAATACCCAATATGCATGCTCATTCTCTGGATCAACTGCTTTCCAAGCAGTAAAACCAAGATAAAGATGTCAACCCTGAAGTTGGCCTCCTTCTGAAACAAGTCTGTAGTAGCTGTTCCTATATTTCTGTCTTTGTATCAAGATTTGTATCACTGAAGGGGGTGGCATCAGTAATGGGGATGAGGAAGGTTACAGTGAATATGTTATGGATAGCATAGGGAAAGGTTACCCCCTTGTAACGTTTATTTCACTGTCTGTGCCCCTGTTCGGAAGATTTCACCTCACTTTCTGTCCCTGTAACAATTGGATTTTGAAAATTTTGGGTTGTTGTGGAAACAAAGATTGTGTGATTATTATACAGTTTAGCCAAGGTTTTATATCGGCAGTTCTTCAACAAGTAGGCTGATGCTACGCTGATGCTACCCAGAGACATGGAGAGACTGCACATACACAAGCACGCTACTTTTTCTCCTTTTAAAGCTTCCCTCTCCAAGGTTCCAGCCCCTCACATGTTTGGGAGTCTTACAACAAAATGATAGAAAGTGCCTCCAGCTGAGATGCCCTTGTTATTGTCCACTAGGAAGTCATCACCATCCTGATGAAGGGAGCATCACATGTTATGGGGGCATTTTTGGCCAACATGTTATTTTTGTGATGTACAGATAACCACCATGGGTAGAAACCGCAAACCTGTATGTGTGGTATTGCAATGTAAATAAACAAATTTATGTCCTCCTCATTTAGTTTAATTTTTTTTGCCTTTTTTTTCTACCTGGCATCTACTTCTACTTTAACACACTTAAGGTGGAATTTCATGCAGACCACTAAATATACGGAAAACCAACATATTTTAGTGGTTTACCCACCAAAGGATTTGTAATTTCATTTAGCAACTTGTGATTAGCACACCATTCCCACTCTGTGCTGCCAGTAAGATTATTTGACCACTTTATGGTTTCATTTTACTGCTTCCTGGATCACCTCCCTACTTTTTGCCCCTTGAGCAGGCAGGGAGAGGTGAAATAAGCTGTATTGCTAAACCAAGGAGAATAAAGTGCGTCACCTGTCTGGCTGTGCAGTGTGACTGCAGAATTACATATTTGTGGTAGTAAAATGTTGCATTACATTTTTACAACTGTGTTTTGAGCAATGTATATGGAGTTGCACTTTAATATACCATATAATATCTGCAGTTCAGTTTTGGGCACCAGTTCACAAAAAGGATGTTGTGGAACTGGAGATAGTGCAGCGAAGGGCGACTAAACTCATAAGAGGCATGGAGGAGCTCAGCTATGAGGAAAGATTAGCTGACCTGAATTTGTTCTCTCTGGAGAAGAGGCGATTAAGGGGGCACTCTTTGCATCTGGAGGAAAAGAGATTTAACCGTTGCATACGGAAAGGATTCTTCACAGAGCTGTGAAAATGTGGAATAGACTCCCCCAGGAGCTAGCTCAGTTAATTGTTTTAAATAAACATCTGGATGTATTCATAAATGCACAGAATATTACTGGATATTGAGTTCTTATAGATATATTAAGCATCAGTGATTGTTGATCCAGGGAATATCCGATGGCCATATGGGATCAGGAAGGATTTTTGTTTTCCCCCTGTTGGAGCAAATTGAACCATGCTTTTTAAGGTTTTTTTTTTTTTTGCCTTCCTCTAGATCAACAGTGGGTAATTGGGGGCATAGCGTTCTGTTTATAAACTATGTAATGTTTTAGTATATACCGTATTTTTCGCTCCATAAGACGCACTTTTTTCCCCCAAAAGGAGGGGGAAAATGTGCCTGCGTCTTATGGAGCGAATCCCGACGCCCGAGACATGCAGTTTCGGGCGCCGGGCGAGTAGTAGGAGCCACTGCTCGTTTAATACGAGTGATCTAATGAGATCACTCGTATTAAAACCGAGCAGCGGCGACGATGGAGATCACCATAGAGCAGACGAAGAACGGACTTTCTTCGTCTGCTCTGTGTGATCACTGAGACCGCCTGTCTCAGCGGTCACTTACTGCAGCTTCTGTCACAGCTTCTGTCATAGAAGCTGTAACAGAAAATACAGTCTGTCGAGGGCTCCATAAGGCGCGCCGGACCTCCCTGCGTCCTATGGTCCGGTGCGTCTTATGGACCGCAAAATACGGTAATCATCAGTAGTTAAATTTGGAATTTATATTCTGGATCAAAAATTGCAGCCTTGAAAGTTTTGGTTGTGCATGCTACAGCCCATAGACTTGATTGCTACCATGTTGAAAGGGCATTATTAGTTTTTTTTTGCTGACTTAAATATTTTTGTTTTGGATGAGGATTTGTCTCATGAAAGTCCAGCAACTATTTGCGTTTAAGCAAAGTAAAGATTGAGCCACATGGGCCTTGGCATAGTGGGCAGAAAAACGCGTTATTGCCTCTGAAAGTGTGTCAAGTTTTCTGTTACGTAAGAAGCCTAATTTTAAGTTTTTACGACCGTTTTCGTCCCCTTCCACACCTAGGTGTTTAGTCGCTCGAGAGTAAGCGCACAAATCGCTGAAGACAAGGAATCCTATTTATTTCTATGGCCCTTGTTCACACCTGAGCGTTTTGTCGCAAGCAGAAAAATGCCGGTCACTGGAAAAGTACATTTGAGCTACTTTTTGGCAGATTACAGTGCTTTTTGGTCCCATAGACTTCGTAGCAAAACACAGAGGGGTGAACAGGGGCCATAAAATGAATGGGATTCCTTATCTTGAGCGTTTTGTCCTTAGGTTTGAGCGACAAAATGCCTAGGTGAGAACGGAGCCTTGCATATGTTGAAACTGTTTGTTTGAATCTCTATTACTTTCTATTATTTTTGGTACTAACAAAAATAAGTAATGTAACATTTTTAAGTTTTTTTTTTTGTGTTTTTATCTTTTCAGAATTCTATACGGCATAACCTATCCCTTCACAGCAAGTTTGTACGAGTACAGAATGAGGGCACAGGAAAAAGTTCCTGGTGGATCCTGAACCCAGAAGGTGGAAAGAATGGAAAATCTCCAAGACGACGAGCCGCTTCTATGGATAACAACAGTAAATTTGCAAAGAGTAGAGGAAGAGCTGCCAAGAAAAAAGCTTCTCTCCAAACAAGCCAAGATGGGAGTGGAGATAGCCCAGGGTCGCAATTCTCTAAGTGGCCTGGTAGCCCCAGCTCCCACAGCAATGATGACTTTGATGCATGGAGCACATTTCGGCCAAGGACCAGTTCCAATGCAAGCTCAATTATGCCTGAAGAGGATGACCTTGGAGATCCTGATGTACATAACCTTGTGTATCCTCCTTCTACCACCAAGTTGGCTTCTACGTTGCCAAGCCTGTCAGAGATTGGAAACTCTGAAAACATGGAGAATCTTTTAGATAACCTGAATCTCTTATCTCCTAACACCTCAATGACTGTCTCAACGCAGTCCTCAACGGCCTCAATGATGCAGCAACAGTCTGGCTATTTATTTACATCTCCCAACTCCAGTATGGGATCCCCTGACCCTGAGTACAGGAAATATAGTTATGCTCAAGCTAGCATGAACTCCCTGTCACAAATGCCTATGCAAAGTGTTCCGGACAGTAAGTCAGGTTACAGGCCTGTAGGCCCATATAACGTTCCAGCCGGACTTTTGAAGGAACTGCTTACAGCAGATTCTCCACCACATAATGATTTACTGACCCCCTCAGAATCTGCTGTTTCACAAGCCAACAGTAGAGTTTTGAGTCAGAATGTGTTGATGGGATCTAATTCTGGAATGCCAACCTATGGCAGTCAGCCACCTCATAACAAAATAAACAGCATTGCCCACACACATCAACCACATAATCAGCAAACGTCTATCAATGGTCGTGCCTTGCCCCATACTGGGAGTACCATGACGCATGCTGGCATTAATCGCCTCTCAACAGTGAAAAGTTCATTACAAGTGCCTATGACTCAACCCCATCCAATGACAACCATGAGTCCTTACCCTTCAAATAGCTGCAATGGCTTTGGAAGAGTTGGCATTGTCTCTGTTCACCAGGAGATGCTGCCCAGTGACTTGGATGACATGTTGATTGAAAGCTTGGAATGTGATTTCGAGTCCATGGAATCTATTATCCGGAATGACCTCATGGAGGATGGAGGAGCAGATTTTAACTTTGATAGTGTATTGCCTAACCAAAGCTTTCCTCACAATGTCACAACCACCACACACAGCTGGGTATCTGGTTAAACAAGAATATAGTAAGTAAAATGCTGAAAGAAACAACATTGAATGTTTACATGAGCTATTATAATAATTATAGGTGCACCAAAATGAAAATTTCAAAACCGAAATGAAAAAAGTCAGAAACTGAAAATGTTTTTTATTTGTAACTTTTTCAAATTGTTTTCATTTTTATAAACTTTTTCATTTTTTTATATTTTATTTTTATTCATTTTTTTAATTAAATATTTTAATCTTTTACTTTAATATTAGGGGCTATGGGGAATTATTAGGGATCTAAACAGACCCCCTGATATTTCCCTTTTTGAAAAAGAGATTGAGGACACAGAGTCCTCAATCCTCTATACTGAGTGTTCCTGTTCATTTATAACATGAGGACAGAGTATGTTTACTATAACCACAATCATGAATGAACAGGAGGTGATGTAGATCACTTCCCATTCATTCATAATTGAGGATATAGTAACCATACTCTGTCCTCAATTATTTACAAACACTCAGCGATCACTGACTGCTTGTACTCTTTCTCCTTCCTGACACGCTGTCACAGGAGGCTGAGCGGGTGGAGCTCAGCCTCCCGTGACAGCACTGGTTGTCTCTGCCCACACCGCTCTCCAGATCTGTGACAGGAGGCTAAGCGGTGCGGAGAGCTCAATGCGCTCGGCCGCCTGTGACAGTTTCTCTCCTCCCTGCTGGGACGCAGCGCCCAGCGGGCTACAGAATGGATGCACCGCTGTATGAGCCAGAAAATGGCACTTTCGGGATTTTGCCAAATGTGGCATTTTCGACCGATATATCGGTGTGTCCCCAATAATAATATATACCTACGCCTCTCTGCATTCATCTGTACATGACCATTAGTGACAAACACAAATTAGTGAAAAGAAATGTTAAAAATAAAGTTTCTAATATTAATTTTGTAACCTCAATACCTCTACTACCATTTATGAAGATATGAAGGGGTTCTGCTTCACTTCCTACTATACTATAATACCTAATAATTGTCCCAGCCAGGAAAGTTTGGAAGTCCAACCTGCACACTTGTTCTAGCTGAATTCAATAATGGAAACCTGCCATGAAATAAATATGAAGGGTGTCATTGCTGACTTATGAAAATGCTATTTGATCTGCTGCCAAACTGATACTTTGGTCTTCAGTGCTTTGAATCACTGACATTGAACATGAGATGACCAAGACCGTTCTTGTCCCGGGTTAGTGTAGCTCCCACATTTCTCTTATTACCATCACTTTAAAAGTGATGCTAATAACAGAAATTATGCTTAAAAGCTGCTTTATATATTTCTGTTTGGGTTTAGGGTTGTTTACCTTTTAAAGTGTGCTCACTAAAACGTAATGTGTACTACTAAATTTGTAAACCTGTAGTAGCCTCTGTATGATGATCAATAGATTAGTAAAAAGTTGTAGGGAAATTGTCTAGAGCCGCCTTATAAAAAGATGAGGCTATTGTAAAATAAATTCTGATAGGGTTAAGTTGTGCCTACCCTCCTTTAACGTTAATCGCCACCCTCCATATGTTTAACAAAATAACAGTTCGATGCCTGTCAAACATAATGCTTGCACAACTAAACCTCCCAGGACTACACTAGGCTGTGGTGTCATTTCTTACACTTGTTTGGTTCATTCTAAATAATAAAGTACACTCTCTGCTTTAAGTACACAATACTGATACTCCTACCTGCTGTGCAGCTTTCTGCTCTTATATTAATATTTAAGGTTTACACTGGCGGAAAAAAATGTCACATGATCATCCATGCTTCTTTATCCTGCTGTGCATTTGGTTTGTGGGAGGAGTGAAGTGAAGCCAGCACATAATGCGGCTGACATTTTGCAGAGCCCTTGCCTATCTAAGCTAATACAGACATCTTTGCCTACCAGTTATTAGTACAAGACCATAAACCAGATGGTGTATTCAATGTGTTTGCCGTGTACATCTCGCTGCGTGAAATAAGACGCTAGTCTGGACACATGAAGGGGCAAGCTCTGCAGTTGACTTTCTCACTCAGATGAAACTGGTTCTTTGAAGGTTGTGTGCCCCGCAGAGGATTCAGCAGCACTGATTGACACTTCCTGTAGAGCAGGGGTGTGTGTGTCTGTGGTGACAGTGGATGATGTGGGAGGCTGTGTCAGACTGGAATTTTGCTTGCTACAATGCCTTTCAAAGGAAATTTGGAGGCACACATTGGGCAGGGGGAGAAAACTAAAGAGCAGCTCGGTTTCCCAGCAAGCTCCACAGGCAGAAGCAGATGGGACAGAAACAGGTGAGGATGGAGTTCTGCTGTAACTATAAAGTAGGCATTGCATTAAAATAAAAGATACTGTTGTTTAGTAGCTTCCCCTTCTCCAATTTAAAAGATTAAGATAAAACCTTGCAATAAAAAAATGCAATAGGAGTAATAAGTAAAAGATTCCCACCTTAGAACTGGCCAAGCCAGGAGTGCAGTCCTCCGAGACTTGGGATCCCCATCTTTTCCAGGATCCCACAACGAGGTTGAGTAACCTCACTAGAGCCTTTTACCTTAAAAAAAACAAAAAAAAAAACACATATTAAACTAGCAGTTTTACATAAAGGGGAAGAAGGTGGTACTAAATAGCAGTTCCATTTATTTTGATGCAAGGTCCACTTTAAAGTGGTGCTAAACTCAGGAATAAAATCTTAAAAATGCATTTAAGTGCCTCAACTATTAACAGAAATGTAACTTATTTGTGTATCACTCGGCTGTAGATGCTCAAATCATCTCTGAATTGGTTTTGACACTGACTTTCCTTCCTGAGGGTGACTACGTTTGTTCCCCATGTGTGTTGTAAAGTAGCCACCGCTCCAAACTCACTCCTCTGATGGACTACAATCTCACTACAAATTAGTAAACTAAACATGAGATTGTAGTCCATCACAGGAGTGAGCTTGGAGCGGTGACTACTTTACAACACACTGGGACCATGGGGAACAAAAGTAGCCCCCCTCCAGAAGGAAGGACAGTGTCGGCACCAATTCAGAGATGATTTGAGGATCTACAGCCAAGTGATAAATTTTTTGGTAATAGTTAAGGTACTTTTAAATGTATTTTTAAGAATTAATTCCTGTGTTTAGTGTCACTTTGAAGTAGAAAGATGTGTATATATCTCTCATAAAGTGTAGACAGGTTTGTAAGGTCCAGCTTTTCACTTGAGGAAAATAAATAGGGAAACCGGCAGGAATGTATTTTAAAAATCCCATCTTGAAAAAAACCTGAGATTATCAAGCTTAAAAAGCACGGAACACCTTTTATAAATGCTGAATAAAACATCAATGTTGGATTAGTGGTACAATGAATAAAGCAATCTGAAATGTAACATTTGTTAAAACTCTTTTCTTTCCCCCAGAGATGACTGTAAATAAAATACAGTTGAAGACAACTCCAAAGATGCCCATCTCCCACGTTATTCAAATCAGCAGATACACGGATTTGTCTCAGTTTTATGCCAGTTATGTGCTGCTCTTGGACCCCTCTCACTATGAAGTGCCAAACTGACTAGAAATCCTAACAGAAGAACAGACTGGGTGCTTGTAGGAGCAAAAAAAAAAAAAGAAATAACTTAATGGGTGTAGTTTGTGTACCTGCTTCTTTGCTCTAGGTGCTTTTTGTGAGTTTCAGACCTGCTCAGCAGTGAAGCTTCTGAGTTTTAATATCTTCAAGACTGGAAATCATGACATCCCTGGCTGCACTAAACAGTCTAATATGAAGTTTAAAGAGCTATTGCCAGCAACTTTTTATAATGCTACCTGTCTCTTTGGTAACTGCCAAATCTGTGTTTAACAGCAGCAGTCTAATTTATTTACATTCCAAGCCAGCAGGGATTCTCCCTGTTTTTGGACCAACATTAAAAATAATCCAGGGTTGGTGCTAATTATATAATTCTGAGGTTTAATTTATATGCTCTAAAAGAGGCAACCTTAATTTTAGAAGATTTATTTCACTTTATTGTTTTTTGTTTATTGAAATTTAGCATTCTGTGCAGAAAAGTGTGTTTTTCTGTAAGTTTTATAGTTGTTGAAATCTGATATGACATGATCTCATTACCCTTTGCCAGCCCAGATGTATCAATGCCAAATTACCCTCCGTGGCCAAACATACCGAAATTCTTTTTATTTGTAATTTTTTTAATTGTTCTTCGGTGAGAAGTTGTAACCTGTAGTAACCAGCCACATTTGAATAAGAGGCTCTAGTTGCCTTGATTTCACAGCTGATAAATGCTGTCCCGATATGTTTAAAACTGAGTATTTTCTTTAACTTCAAGTGAGTCTGCTGCTGGGGGAGAATTAATTCCTCTATAAGAATATGGAGTACAGTGATCTTCATTCAACCATTTCTTCACCCAGCTGCTGGTTCCCGTTGTGCAGCTAAATTGACTGTGGAAGCAGGTCCAACAATTGCTTCTTCAAGGCAGTTAATGGAATTCTTCTCTCTGATCATTTTTGATTTCCTTTGTTAGGAGGAACCTAACAAAGCAGGGAAGAGTTTTAACAACTGTCCATGGGAGTGACTGTCAAAGGATGATTTATATAGACTTCCAGAGTCAACTTAAAGCTGATCTCCAAGCAGATGAATAGTATCATTTAGTCCAGTTTTTAATTCATTAAGGACTCATTGAATGTATTCTTAAAACATATTCATATACTTATACTATTTGTATATAATGTTTAATTTCCAGTAGTTCTCTACACAGCAGCACTTATATTTTGGAGAGGGTGGACGAGAACTTGTTGGGCTTTAGTTCACTGCTTGCTAACAAACAAACATGCATGAACATGCTTACAAATGAAAAATGTATTGTTGCGTAGCTGAGGTCTAAGCATGCTGCATGTGTAGTTTATTTCTAAGCTGGAGTTCAGCTTTAAGTGCATACCAAATTCTGCAGCTAGTTGGTGAAAGCCTTTAGATTGCACGACTTGGAATATAAGCAGACACCTTGGTGAAATCATCTGAAAATCTGTGGCACCTTGTAGCAGTTAAGCAGGGATTGTTATATTGTGAAAGCAAATATATTGGGGGCATTTTATCAGTTCTGTGGCTCAGCAAAGCAAGGAGCTGTGAGACTGATTGTGCAACAGCTTGACTACAAGGTTACAGCTTTAGTCATTCCTCCATCAGCTACTCTAAAGTAGCATTGCAACAGTATAAAACCTGACCCTGACCACTTCTTAATTATGCGTCTGTTTAGGGTAAAATCCCATCTTCAATAATTATTCTGTCTCAGAACTTTGCAAACAGTTGCAATTGGCTGCACGGGAATACAGACGCACAGATTTGTAAACCTGTTGCAGCGACTTTGCTGAACAAGAGGCAGCCTGATTTAGACTAATTGTGTCCTTAAATCGCTCAGTCCCTCATGGTTACTGAAGCTTATGGAATACCTTCACTTAATTGCAAACCAGCTTTTATAAAATGACCGTTTTGTCCTAAATATATGCTTGAAGTTAAACACAATAGCCATTGCATGTTAAACTATAGCTGGCAAACTTTTTTTAAATTTTTTATTGCCAGTGGTATCTCAAGCCCCCCCCCGCTCCTTAAATCTGCTGTTGGCTATTAGATTGTACTGATTTTTGTCTACCCCAGACTGAGTGAACACCCATGTCTACCTAACCCCATGTTCCATTTTCAGGAGAAGCACCTCTCAAAATGAAAGCATATAACCTACAAGCAGTCAACTACTACAGAGACAAATAGATTGTTGGATCTTGTACAGAAAATGTTTTTAAAAATCTGTGTAGAATTGTCTGTTGTTTATGCTGTTTAGTATATCATTGTCAGTACCCATGTCTATTTTGGCTTGTGTCAGCATCCTAGTAACCCCAAATAGCACAGAAATGTTCAGTATTCATGTGCTTTGTAATACAAGCTTTTTTTGTACCTTTTAGAATTTGGGTGCTTTTTACCATGTTGATATTTTTTATGCAAGGAAAATGGAGGAAGTCATGTAAATAAGAAGTAAATATTTCTTCATTTTGCCTTACTAAGATAATGTATAAATATTTGTATTGCTTGCTTGGGAGAGTCTTAGGTGTTTTTGCATATATATATATATACACTGGCCAGAGTGGCCAGATTATTATATACACTGAGTGGCCGGATTATTATATACACTGAGTGGCCGGATTATTATGACCCCCTCCCCCATCAGTACTTGG